CGGGAGGTGTTGGTGGCACCCCAAAAAAAACAAACTCCTGCAAATCCCGAAACCGCCGGTCAAACTACAGCACATCCTCGCCCCCGGAGCATCCCCTTAACGCCCCAAATATCGCTGGATTCGCTTTAAAACGCCGAAAACCCCACCTGTCTCGCTGACGGCGAAGGAGCACGTGTAGCCCGCGTAGATCTGCGCCGCCCCACGTCCCGGGAAGTCGAAGAGCTTCACCAAGCGCGGCACCATCTCGTCCTTCTGCTCGGCGTGGCCCAGCCGCCCGTAACCCCCAAATCCCCAGGAGAAAACGCGCTTCTGCGAGTCCAGGACCAGCTGGGGATGGAGAAACGGAGCACACCCCTCAACACCCCGACCGTCAGCGGCTGAGACCCGGCCAGCTCGGCGCAGGGAACGCCGCGGCAGCCACAAGGAACGGCATCGACTGCAGCGATTATCGCAAATATTAACTGCACACCGCAAATCTTTACCCTTAAATGTACCCTGCAAGTATCTATCCTTGAATGCACACCGCAAATCTCCATCCTTACATGGAGATTACATTATTATATCCATATATCCTATATATGCCGCAAGAATTTACCCTTAAATGCAGGCTGCGGAGCTCAATCCTTAAGTGAAGGCTGCAAATTTTTAGCTATAAATGCACGCTGCAAGTATTTATCCTTAAACATGCTCTGCAAGCTATTTGTCGTGATACACACGCCGCAGATCTCACCCCTTAAATGCAGGCTGCAAATCTCACCCCTTAAATGCAGGCTGCACGCATTTATCCTTATATGCACACTGCAAATCTCTATCCCTAAACGCACACTGCAAATCTACTTGCATGAATGCTGCAAAACTTCAGCCTTAAATACACGCTGCAAATCTCGACCCTTAAACGCACCCTGCAGACTTTTATCCTTACATCCTTAATTCCCATCCTTAAACGCCAGCTGCAAATCTTCATCCCCAACACGCATGCGGCAAAACTTTATCCTTAAAACACACGCCGCAAATCTCAACCTTTAAATGCACCCTGCAGATTTTTGTCCTTACACACACGCTGCAAATCTCTGTCCTTAAAACGCACGCTGCGAGTATTCAACCTTAAACAGGCGCCGCAAATATTCATCCTGACATCCACGCTGCAAATCTCGACCCTTAAATGCACGTTGCGGGTATTCATCCCAAAACGCACGCTACAAACTCCCTAGCATGCGCCCTGCAAACGTCCAGCCTGAAATGCACGCTGCCAATCTTTACTAATTAATGCATGTTGCAAATCGTTACCAATTAATGCAAGCTGCAACTATTTATAGATAAACGCATGCTGCCAATCTTTACTAACTCATGCACGCTGCAGGTATTCATGCAGAAATGCACACTGCAAATCTTCCCCAATGAATGCACGCTGCAGGTATTTATGGATAAATACATGCCGTTGATCTTTACCAATTAATGCACGCCGCAGGCATTTATGCATAAATGCGCACTGCAAATTGTCACCAATTAATGCACGCTGCGGGTACTTATGGATAAACGCACGCTGCAGGTATTTATGATGAAATGCACGCTGCAAGTCCTCCCCAATTAATGCACGCTGCGGGTACTTAGGGACAAACGCACGCTGCAGGCATTTATGATTAAATGCACGCTGCAAGTCTCCCCCAGTGAATGCACGCCGCGGGTATTTATGCATAAACGCAGGCTGCGAGTCTCCCCCAGCGAGCGCGCGCCGCAGGTATCTGCGGGCAAAGCCCCACCGCCCCCCTCCCGCCGTACCGTGTGGTTGGCGCCGCACGCCACGTCCCGCACCACCACGTTGGGGACGGGCAGGATCTGCCCATCTTTGGTCTTCTCGATGAAGATGGCCACGCGGCGCGGCACCAGCTCGCAGTCGTACTCGATCCGCTGCGCCCGGGCGATGAATTTCCCATCCGAATTATGCCCTGCGGACGAGGACAGGGATGAAACCGCGCCGTCCGTGTCCCCCTCCCGCACTCCCGATATTTCCAAGCCAGCTGCAAAAATCCCTTTTTTCATGCAAAACCCTTTTTATTTACACCTCCCACCCCACTATTTTTGCTGCACGGAACGCTGCAGTCGCCCAAACGGGGAAACTGAGGCAGGGAACTCCCCCCCCCTCCCCCAACCCCATAATTGCTCCAAATTTTATCGAATCACCCCCCCAATAAAAAAAAACCACCATACCCAGCTGCCCGTACTCGGGGCACCCGAAGGAGTAGAGGTTGCCTTTGCAATCCATGATCATGCTGAATTCGGCCCCGCAGGCCAGTTTGGTGATGGGCTGCCCGTTGTACATGATCTGCGGGGAAAAAAGCAGATAAAAAGGGTTAAAAAGAAAATGGAAAAAAGGGTAAAACACTTAAGTTCCACAGAGAACGCTCAAAATCCTCAAATCTGGCAGTTTATTCCCAATTCTGGCGGTTTATTCCCAATAATTCTGGCGGCTTATTCCCAATTATTCTGGCGGCTTATTCACAGTAATTCTGGCGGCTTATTCCCCGTAATTCTTGCCGCTTATTCCTAATTCTGGCGGCTTATTCCCAATAATTCTGGCGGCTTATTCCCAGTAATTCTGGCGGCTTATTCCCAGTAATTCTGGCGGCTTATTCCCAATTCTGGCGGCTTATTCCCAATTCTGGCGGCTTATTCCCAATAATTCTGGCGGTTTATTTTCCCACCGCAGCTGGAATAAACTCCCATCCCCGCCAGGGATGCTCTTGCGTCCTTAAAAGGGGGTTTGGGTTCTGCTTGTTTTTTGTTCTTTGTTTTTTAATTCCCCCCCCCCAATGAAAAAACATCAAAA